TAACAGTTGTGATAGCAGGCACCTTTATACCTGATTCTAGTGAGAAGTCAGGTACAGTCATATCATTAAGTATAGAAAATTTTTTTAAAAGTATAGAAATTTTAAAATATACATAAAAGTAGATTGAATAAACTGTCACGAACCCTTCACCTATCTTCAATAACATTTTTGCATACACTTTCAGCAGGGTTATAATCTAGCCCTTTTGATACCAGTTTGGAAATACCTGCCCAAATGTCAATCTGCAGTTCATTTACTAGATGTTAATTCTAATGGACAGGCAAGGACATTCAATGATGTTAACTGTAACAGTGTATGTAATTTTAGAAAACTAAAAAGCAATCTAACTGGTCACCTATAGATTCGCAACATATTATGATGCCTAACCATTGTGAAAAATTTTGGTAGATCTGTATGTGTTGATGTGGGGAAAAAAACTTACGTGCATGGAAAATTTCTGGAAAGACACGTAAAAATCTGCTAGTAGAAGTTATTTCTGGTGAGAGAATGAGAAGTGGTGATGAGATGCTGAGGAATTAATTTTACCTTTTTCTCTTTCCTTCCTTAAAGTTTAACTACCTTACAATTTGCATAGTATTTTTATAAAATATTATTTAAAGATATGGTCATGGTTAATAGTTTAATATTTACTATGTAATGTTTTAAAATTTAGTTGTTTTAGTCAAGATTTATTTTATGAACTACTGTCATAATATTAAAATGTCCTGCCATTTCCACCGTAAAACTGACCCGATCATACTAACAATGACTTCAATGAATTTAATTTGCTTGCACTGTGCGGGGAATTTTGGCATTGGTTTTCTCATGTAAACTTGTAATTTTTGAGTATTCTTTCTGTACCATTTTGATAGGCTTTATAATAAAAATTATTTAATTCATAAAATTAATCTTTATGTATTTAGAAAGGGAATCATATGACTTTCAGAATTTTTAGGAATTTGCTCATAGACCCATTAGGCCTAAAGTCTTTTTGATTTCTTCCCCAGCTTTGATCTAGTCTTTCTAATTCTTCTGGATGTTTTGGTAATTCATGTTTTTCCACAAAGAATATATTAGCACATAGCTAGCTTCACCTAGCAGTGTCATGTACATTAAAAAAACAAACAGAAAATCCCCACTCTCTATCTGCTGTTGCCTTGCTTCTGTACAGTTGGTTTTTTTTTTCTTTTTTCTACTTTATTAAGTAGATTATCAGAGATCTCTCCATTTTCTTTCTATTTTTTCTAAAGAATTACCTTTGAAGTCAATCAATGATTTATTTTCTAGTTCATTAATCTGGCGTCTTGAAGAGAATTTGGCATTGGACTTCTTATGTGAGTTTATATTTTTGAGTGTTCTTTTTGTATCATTTTTGATAGGTTTCTTTTGTTTGTTTGTTTGTTTTTGGTACTGGGAATCGAACTCATGACCTTAGGCTTGCCACACAAGTGCCTATGCCACTGAGCTATATCCCCGCTCCCTTGATAGGTTTTATAACAAAAATCTTTTTCTTGGAGTTTTTTTTTAAAGTATTTCTCAGTTCACTTAGTTTTATTTTCTCTAGTTAAATTTTTCCTTGCTAAATAATGTTACCAGGCTTGTGTGGTTTCAAATGACTTTAGGGTATTTCTAAAAATTAAATCATCCCTCAGAGGGGGAATATTTGCTATTGCTGATGATGTCATTTAAAAGAATGTGACTCAGACTCTTGTGACAAATTTCTAAAGAATTCTACAACTGTTTGAGTAATGGCAATACAATTGCAGCAAGTTTATGACCGACTGTGAAGAAGTCAATACTTACTTGTATATATAAAATCTGCATGTGCTAAACATCAGCCTCATAAATTTGGAAAGAATCAACAGTTAAGATTTAAACAGGAGTTCTCATGTGCATTTATCAGTATTGACCTCTGATGCTGCATGTCTGTAACCCAAAGGTATTCTTAAATGTCTTCTTCTTTTTGTGAAAATATTAAATACATTATACGTGCTACCTGGTTTTAGTTTTGCTTGTAACTGAAAGTTACCTCAGTGAAAGCATTTTTTCAAATGCAAAAATTAAAAATTGTAAACATGGTAGAATGACAAAGTTTTCCCTGCAAAAATCAATTCATTATGATGATGTGGATGAAGATGGGACATGTTTTAAAAAAATAAATTTTAAGTGCTCGGATAGTCTGTAGTTATAAACAATAAAACAAATCTATAATAAAAACATTATGACAATAGACAGTCCAAGGTATGAGGCAGAAATCCTTAGATCCATGTGTCTGTAGATTATGTAACATTTTTTAAGTGTCCAAGAAAAGGAGGATTTTGTAATCAGAAAAGTGGAAATGTGCTATTTAACATATGACCCTGGAAGGTCCCATCTCAAATTACTGTTGATCAAGTTACAGTTGGTTGGCAAGCTAGGTGGGAGGGAAGTCTAGAGGAAGCCTGACGAACTTGCAAATAAACAGCTGGCCACAAAACCATGGTGTGGTGGCTGCTGTCATTAAAAATATGAACTTATTGAAGTTTCCAATTTTTAAAATAATGCAAGAAAAACATTTTTGGAAACTGTCTTAGAATTGTGAACTAGAAGTCACTTTAATCAAGGTTTTAATATATCCTCCCCTGATTTTAGGAAAGATAGAACTTAGTTTAATGATAAACAAAAAACATATAACTAGACCCCAGACTAAAATGGCTTTATGATAAGATGATTGAAAGGGTTTTGTTTTGCTCCCACATACATACCAAGGTTTTCAAGGTTACTTAAAACATGTAAATGCCTATGATGGAGGACTCTTGAGAGGATACTCTACTATGAATCAGTAATGTAAGCCAAAACTTTTATCTCTACCAACTTGAAATAAGGGGCCACCTACTTCTAAAAAATGCATTCAGCACTGGCCTCTAGTGATTGCCTAGACATACAAGCTTAAATATCGCATGGTTTCTCTTGTGTGAGAAAGCGAAATTATAAAGAGCAAAATAAAAGATAATAGGAAGTAGGGAGGCAGATCTTTCTCAAAAGGGAAGGGAATCGAGATGGAGAAAAGGATAAAAAAGGAATTAAGATGTGTTATGTACGTACCAACTCCACACAAGGAATGTAACCAACTACAAACATGGACTAATAAAATAAACTACATCCTGATTACCAAAAAAGAAGAAATAAACCAGTACTTTAATGGTACAGTAAGCCAGAGACAGGTGGGGGTGTGTGTCCTAATTTTGCTTGTGATTGTGAAATTTTAAGAAAGCACGGATCTAAAGCCCAAAGACTGCTACAGGATTGACTAGAAAGCTGAGCCTGAGGCCAAGCTTAAGTGCTAAAATTTGATCAGAAGGTACATTCTAAGGCGGGCAGGGTGAGAAAATGCAAAGGAAAGCAGACACAGAGTGGTGCATTATTGATCGGAAAGCAACTTCACAAGAAATTACAGCTGATTGCTCAATCCCAAAGGCAGCTTCCATGCAGAACCACGTGGATGGGAGGAAGGGGGCTGAGTATGTATATTGGCTACTATTTGTTTCCTGCCCCTTTTGTGCAAGTTCTCACCGGCCTCTCATTCTCTCACCCCTCTGGGTACAGCACTGGATCCCTCCAGCCAATTGCCAGGGAAGCCAGAGCATACTGTATTTTAAAGCAAGAGAAGACTCATCTGAGTTTGGGGCAGTGGGGAGCCGCCAGAACACCTCCAAGGAGGCGGTGTTGAAGCCTGTTATCCTGGGAGAGGATGCCACAGCAGAGGAGGCCTACCTGCTGCATCAACAGGAGGCTAAGGTCAGGTGGTGATAGGTGATGGATCTTAAATTTAGGAGGAGCGTCAACTGCTCTGCAATAGCGGCCCCTCCTTGGACCTAAGCTGTTCCTAGCTGGTGTTTACTGGCTGTACAAGACTAGAAGAAGCCACTGTATTCAGAGACTAGAAGCATTTATCGCTCAGATTTTTGTAAACTGTAATTTTTCCCCACCAATTTATCCTTCATCCTCAACTATGCCTAACAATAATCATTTAAAAAACTTTTTGTTCCGGCTTTTTAAAGGAAATTATTTTGTATATAATTTGAAGACAATAAAGATAAACTTCATCCCATTTAGAGACTACAGTTGGATGAGTTCCTCCCGCTCCCTGTGTAAGTCCTGTAACCACCGCTTCTATTAGGATGTGGAATACTTACTTCGCCTCCCGAAATTCCCTCCTGCTCCTTTGCATGGCACTCGGTCCACTAACACTTCATAGAAATGAAACCAGACTATGGTCTTTTGCCACCCCCACCCAATGCCTCTTAGATCTACCCATGTTGTTGCTCGTACGTAGTAGTGCTAGGTTAATGCTGGCTGTGTTTTGGGAAACTCACTGTATGCTGTTAGGCAGTTTGCCTCCATTATCTCCCTTCGAATCCTGACGCCCATTGTTTCACAGCGGAAGAGAGGGAAACCCGGACACCCGCGTGTAAGTTGGAGAGAATCCTGGGCACACTCCAAGAGCCACCTGCGGCACCGGCCCGGCTCCCGGGGACTGGCGGCCCGACGCCGGCAGACGCGCAGTCGGGGAGGCGGCGCGTCACGCCCAGGCCG